ATACTGACTTAAGCATCGGAGGCTCTTCACCGGACACAACCCCCGGTGTGAGAGTTACTTGCAGGTTTCCGGCGTTCTACCGGCGAGGACAAAGATCGATCCGTTCCAAACAGGACCAGGACGCTCACACTTGCATTACGAAAAATGTCCCCATTATCGATCATTAGTGCTAAAAAAAGTTTGCCCACTTAATCAACCAAACACAAAAGACAAAAAAACTAAATCAAAAACGAAAAATAAAGAGAAGGGAAAAGATGCAAACGTACAGGGCACAGTGACTAGACGAGTCACTGTGAATCTAGTGGTGCAGGTGGAGGGTGGAGGTAGTCAGTCCCTGAACAACGGGCCACCATCATCTCAATTCTCTCGCCCCATTCAGATCAGGGCAGTTCCTTTGTACTCGGCTGGAGAGGGGTAGTGTGGTCACCTTTCTCAATACAGGCTCGGTCTTGCAATGACCTCGAGGCGTGCTCTCGCGAACACGCCTCCTCAGTGAGCTGCTCTGTAACACCCCACTTTGATTTTACAGAAATTCCGGACATTCCAAAAATCAGTACAAATTTTTCGAGATCATTTTCGAAATTTAATGGGTGTTAAACAACATTTTCATAACCCAAGTCTTATCTGGGCCCACGGGGATTCATTACCCGGTTTTCACAAATGGTTTTCATTAACCAAAACATATCATACGAGACTTAATACTCAACATGAATAATCAAACCACATTATCATACCCAATAATCCAATGTTCCACAAGTTTCCCAAAAACAACATGTCATAAGGTTTGGAAAAAGTTTTAAACGAGTCTCCACATAAAGGTCCATAAAAGCCTTATTTATTCTACGGAAGCATAAAATGCATAACGAAATGACCGACCCACTCGCTTCTTCCCGTCACCCAGCTCCTGCTTAACCTGCATCGGTGAAGAGCAGGTGGGGATGAGCACAAGATAAAAAGCGTGCTCACCATTATGCACATATATCACAACATAAATAATGCAGAGAAGGTATGGTTAGAGTATGAACATAAAACAATTAATCTGTCACGTCTCCTAATCACATCACAACATAATACCCACGTGTACACATCTTTCATTAGCCAAGGAAAGG